GAGTGAGTGAGTGAGTGAGTGAGTGAGTGAGTGAGTGAGTGAGTGAGGGAGTGAGTGAGTGAGTGAGTGAGTGAGTGAGTGAGCGAGGGAGTGAGTGAGTGAGTGAGTGAGTGAGTGAGAGAGGGAGTGAGTGAGTGAGTGAGTGAGTGAGTCAGTGAGTCAGTGAGTGAGTGAGTGAGTGAGTGAGTGAGTGAGTGAGTGAGTGTGAGCAAACTCTGGCCAAGCTAAAAAGTTCTCCTTGCCCTTTTGCCCCAACTGATCGGCTCCCTCTATGGCAGTCCCCATGCTTCCAGTCCCACCCCGAACCCCCGATCCGCCGAGCCACGGTGCAGGGGATTGTCCAGCAACTGCGGCGACGCAGGCAGCGGCGCAGTGTCCATGGTCCGGGCTCTGTGGATCTCAAGACATGAAAAGACCACATACTTGCCCGGTGGTTGGCTAGCTTTGACTTATAACCTAGGTTATAAGCGTTATAAGTACCCTAACCTGCTTATAACCTTGGTTGGTGGGTTATGTTGATGTAAAAAACATAATATATGAAACAACTGTTCAATTGCAATGTGCTGAAGGCAACATAGAAAGGGATCCTTTTATGGTCCTTCTGTATTACACTCCCTGAAATCATCATGGAGGTGGACAGTAGGATCCTCGAAGACCATGTTTCTCTACAAACAGAAGGTTGTCCACTTGTCCACCTGCGCATGTGTAACAAGCATCGCTAGTAGGTTGGAGGCCATCACTTATAGGTTGGAGGCCATCGCTAATAGGTTGGCGGCCATGGGTTGTAGGTTGGAGGCACATTGGTCACAAGCTGCTTGCCCCGCCAGGGTACCTGGAATATCCTGGAATCTGTTTTTCAGGAGTTCCGCCCGCCTCGGCTGATCCATGAAGCCTTCATGGATGGCATGCTTCACCATCCAACCATCCCTTTAAAACCCTAGGGTGATGGGACCACTCCCAAGAAGCAATCAGATTGCACTGGAGGCTCCGAACAGCCGTCTTTCTTGGATGGTCCGTCAGGCATTGACCTCCAACAGAGGCCGAACGTTCGACTATCCCAGTTGGGTACCCCAGTAGGGTCCTATTTACGGTCACTGGCTACCTCTCGCTACCAGGAGTCGGAGGGCACCCCAACCGTTGGGGTGCTGTGGATGTCTCGGATGCGTCAGGCGTTGACAGAGCCACCCTCCAGGGAGGCGGTCGACCGCACCCCGACGAGCTGGATGGAACTGCTGGATCAGCCACTTTCTTCCGATACCTAGACCCCCCCCGAGGCCATAAATTTTTGCCGTAGGCTGAGCCGAGGCAAGGCTGTTGATTGCCGTAGGCCCGAAGTTCCAGGTCTTCCCCAAAAAAGCTCCAGTCGTCACGAGAATCCGGGCCAACACGGCAATTCGGTGTCGGGGTGCGACACCACCTGGACCCGACAGGTCAGGTGTTTCCTGGTGACCAGAAGGTGCCCAGAGTCGGTATCTGTTAGGCTTCTAAAAGCACCGGACTTGAAAGGTGGTAAGGAAAGCACCAAAAAGGATTCTTAGGGCCCAAAGGCTCATTGGGCCCTCATAGCTAGGGCTTTGGACCGAACCAACATGTAGCAGTTGGTTCGGGTCCATGAGCCTCTGGGGGCCAGCAAAACCCGGTCGTTTGGAGGCAAAGAAAGGAAGGAACACGTCCGGAGTCGTCTGGAGGGTCATCGCCACGGGTCCCACGAGCCTGAGGCCAAGGGGGAGACCGGCGCCTGGATGGACAGGGGGGTGGCCAGAATCGGAAGACGAGAACTGAGACCCACTCCATGGGACCCCTAAAACACTTATATATGCCTACCAGGAGTCACAAGACGGGGTGGAGTTTAGTCCCATCCAGTGAGTGGATAATGGGTCCATTAAGCACCCCTTTGTGACTGCTGGTACCAGCACCTTCAAAGGGATCTCCAATGGAAGCCCCAGCCCACTATTAAGGGACCTCCAGCCAGGAGACCCCGAAAGAAGGTCCAGGTATATACATGTTGACTCATTGACCCCTAAAACCACCCCTGGAACCCAACTGATCGTCAAATATGGCAGTCCCGTGGAGTGTCTGGGATCAATTTGGTGCCACAAAAGCTGGAACACCAGCCGGCGAGACTTGGATTTGGCATAGAATCCTTCTATCCAGGGTCACTTTGTGCGTTTGGTGTTTAGTCCCAACCAGTGAGTGGATGTGAGTATCGGGGCACCCCAACCACCTCCAAGTTAGGCACCCCTTTGAAACTCCTGGATAGAGCACCCCAACTCCTCACTTTTGGGGCTTTCACTCCAACGTTTCGGTTCGATGGGACAGGGGCCCCGGGTGGGCGCTCTTGGGGGTTAGTCCCGACTGAACCTGAGGATATGCCCCATTAAGATGAGACAATACAATCGAACCATGCCTAGACCTTCCAACTCTGCAACATGTCTGCCTTCTCCATCTATCAAACCAGCCCAAGTTGGGCAAACATGTTGCACAGTTGGATGCTCCAGGGTATATACTGTAATATACGTCCAAATCAGGCGAGTTTCACTTCACACATATTCAACCTATACCTCAACCTTATGTTTACAGTTCACCGTGGTTTCTTTCTCTTCCCTAAGGGTCCAGGACCATCCTGAGGATGTCCGTTGGCCCCAAAGACCATTCTCTGGAAGTACGAACTCACCTCCGTTCGACCATCCTCAGAAGGTACCTGGACCCGAACTGGGCTTGAGTTTCTTCAGGCTGGACAAACCCAAACGCAATGAACGAACGATGAAGAGCTTCAGCCCAATGCTGTCCCTTCACCCGCACTGCTCTCCTCGACCGTCTCACTGGGCCCCCGGCCGAGACCACTTGGAGCTGAGGAGCTTCACTCGCCTGCGCGGAGGTGGGGGACAGGAACGAAGAGGGCCCGGGCGACCGGGTGGTGCTGTGACCAAAGCTGGGAGAATCCTTGTGGGAGAATCATCAAAAGTAGGAACATCGCCGGGAATTCTGCTGCTTTTCTTTACCGGAAGACCGGTCTTCCGACTCTTCCGGTCTGATGGGTTATAGGCACTGCCTTTCTTCCGTGGCCCGCGGGTTACGACGGTTGGTTCGGACCCAGTGGTGACGGCGTCATCCAGTTGCGACGTTTCTTTCACAACTGATGACACCCCCCCTTCATGTCGGGGTGCTCTGGTCTGGAGATCCTCAAGTAGCGCTGTACGTAGTGTAGGGTAGTCTATTGGAGACCCCGACATGAAGGTGCTGGCCGTAATCATGTGGCAGCGGTGCTGGATTCATGAGCAGCAAATGGTGGAAGATTTTGCTGAATGTGACAATACATGACCCGGCAGTCACCTGGGTTGGCTACCCTACGAGTACCAGGCATCTCGCCAGGCATCTCCTTCTCAGGTCAGCAGTCCCAAAACTGAAAAGAAGGACTCAAACAACCAACAACCTCAACATGGTATGACAAGTTATAGGTAGGCAGTGGTCTTGTATGGAAAGCTTTGAACAACCAATCAAGCTGGCTCGGTCTTGCATGGTCTGACTCCCGAGCCGGTTCGATCGAACAACATCTGCCTCCAAGTTCGGTGGGACTGGGGTGGGTGCCAGGAGGGTCCAGTCATACCGAACCTGAGGAGGTACTTGCATGGAGGTGTGGGCTTTGTCTCGTGAACTTTCACTCCACTGGACGCGAGTTGCGTGTTGACTCATGTTGACTCTCCTGGTCGCCTTTGCTTGGTGACCTTCACTTGGACGCCTTTGTTTGTCCCCAAAACAAACAGATCAAACAAGGCCATGAGCATGTCGTTTTAGGATGTTCTAGGAATGCCACCCAAGAGCGAGCCAGCTCGGGCCCCCAATACCCTACACCTCCAGTCGTACCTCCTCAGGTTCGGTATGACTGGACCGTTCTGGCACCCACCCCAGTCCCACCTTCTCAGAAGGTACGACTGGAGGCCATTCGGATAGAGATTGGATCCAACCACACCCTCATTCCCTACTGACGAACGGCACCAGGGTGACGACCCCCTTTCGTCGACCACCGCCAGGCATCCCCACTGGCACATCTGGCTCCGGTGGTACCAGTGCCATGGCAATCGTCCTCAGGGTTATATGGCCAAAAAACGACAGATGTGGGTGGAGGGTAATATAAGCACGTTCAAACAAAAACACAAAATGATGACAAAGAACTGTACCCCTCTCCAAACCTACTGCAGTCTTCATGTCTGTTGCTTTTCCCAAGGTCTTCCATGTGTTTTTGTGTTTCTTCAGGAGCTTCGCCAAACAACACAACATAACACAACAACAACCGACCGACCCCTCTTCAGAAGGTCCACCAGCCATCGTGTCAAAGTCAAATGACCCACCCACCATCTGGAATGATCAAACATAAAAAAGTCAAGCAGTGAAGTTGAACATGCATTTGTCATACAGTCACAGTAAATGACTGTTCTACAACGTAATGTTTTTTGATTATCAATTGAGTTCTGGAGCTTCTAGAAGTTGAAGGGTGTTTAAATTGAGCATCTTGGAGCATCATTTCATCTGGTTTTAACCAGAAACGATGTCCAATCTTAAAAAGGAGCCGACCTTGGTTCGACTACACATTTAGGTGGATCTTGACAAGCACTGCCTCTCTTTTTTGGAGGTGCGTTCCATTTAGGCCGGAATTATCCAAACGGACCCGGTGTATTGCAAGGACTGATCGGATTTTGGTACCAACATGGCCAGAAACAAACCATGCATACCTGCATACCTGCTAGCAAAGAGGTGATAGAAGCATCCCTTGCCCCATCTTGTCAAGGCTCAACGTCCCCAATCCCTTCGCGGCCAGCCTTTGACCCCAAAGCGAGATTTTGGCCTACTTCGCGCCTATAGGAAGAACAACTGGAATTTGCTTAAGGAACCAGGAAAACGAGGAAAACGTCTAAAAGATTCACCCTATAATGTTAGATTTACATGGATAGGAACCCCAGGGTTCTGGTTCCATTAGGGATCACGTCTTGCGCCGTTCACTCGGCTCCTGATGCTTGTGAGGTGGTTCTCCAACTCCTGCAGGGGCCTGACGCGTCGCGCCCGCCCGCACAGGACCGCGGAGGACCGCGGCAGGAGTCGGGACCGAACGGTGGTGATCGAAGAGCCCAAAAAGCGGACCTGGTCGAGCCAAGCAAGTGGACGAACTACTTGCTTGGACCTGCTCTAACTTTGACTTATAACTTATAGCTAATAACCTACCCTAATCTAGTTATAACCTAGGTTATAAGCTTAGCTCAGCAGGGTCCGCGCAAGTAGAGAGAAGGATCAGGACATGGTTTTTTCCACCCTCACAGAGGTTTGGGTCATTTCCTGCAAGCGGCACCCTTCGGACCTCTAGAGCACGGCGAGCAGATCCCATGCTAGATGGCCACTGGATGTCACCCAAATGGGTCCGTTGCTCCGCGTGTTCTCTGGTTTGGGGGGCCACCTCCCAGCAACCATGAAAAGGTACGCAGCCGCAGCCCCCCAAAAAAACCCGTGGAACTGTCATGGAGGATGTCGTACCAAGAACTTTTCAGAATATGTACCCGATAGAAATGATCACATGCAAGTATATATTAATATGACTTAATTGTGTATGTTCTGAACTAATTATATAGACAAGTGTCTTCGTCCATGTCTTTCAAAACCAATCTCACGTACCGAGACCGACAAAGCATCCTCCGTCCATTCGGGCTTCATATGTTGCCCTCGCGCGAGTGAACCAAGTGGATCTACCACACACTCACCGTAAGGCCACGCATATGTTGGGGACCCTGTATAGGCCCAGGGCCTCCAGGACCCTGGTCGAGCATTGCGGCGCTCCAGCATGCGGAACTCGATGCTCTGGCAGGTGCCAGCGACCGGAAGTCACGAGGAACTCGATGCGGACGAGGTCTCAACGCCAGCGACGACTCGCCTGGGGCCTTGGGTTGTCTCGTGGTGCTCGGATCTCAAGGAGTAAAGAGTGTGCTGGCTGTCCACCAAGCTTGACTGGCTGTCCACGAACCGCTGTCTGCTTGGCGGCAACACGGGGAGCCGCTCGGTCCGAGTGGTGCAACATCTTTCTTTGCAGCTCTTCGCATGCCCTCTGGTCCATGCCCATCTGGTCCCAGACGCAACAACACGTCTGGGACTGCCAAGACGGACTACCGCCCCGACCCCTCAAACCACCCTAATTGATCGGCATATATACCATACATGGAGTGTCTGGGTGTCTTTCTCGCCATGTCCCATACCCGGCGCAATTCTACTTCGCTATAACCTCCCAGTCCAATTGAGACCCCATACCCGGCGCCTGGCCAAACGCGCTTCAGGATCCTGGCGAGGGATTTTGGCGGCGCGCTTCCACACCCAGACATGATTCACACATTAGCGTTTAAGCATACTTATATATCATGGGTCTAATGTGGATGCCATCATTAACCAAGATATACCCAGCATATCAGTGATTAAACTAAGCATGTATATTGGGGCTATCCCATTACCAGGGCTTCGTGGTTGGGGCCTGGTTGCAGGCCTTTCCATCCATGTTCCGTTCGGCTCGTGACAGGGATCCCTTCGGATGAACATGGGCAAAAAAAGGCCTTGTTCAAAAAGACCCAAGGCCTTGTTCAAGAAAGATCCATCGTTCGGGGGTCTTGCCTATGCATCTTGGCTAGTAAAGGCCTTGTTTTATCTTGTTTGGTTCCCCAAAAACGTCACATAGTTTGGGTCTGGATGATGATGGTTAGTAGAGGCCTTGTTCAAAATAGTGATGTTCTTGTTTACAGGTCCTGTTACAGGTCAGTTCGGACAGACCCCAGATCTAGTTGTCCACTGGAATGGCTTCAATTGAAGCCATTCGATCCCTTCAGTGTCGAACGAACGAACCGGAGGAGATGGGGCCAGGAGGAGGTTCAACATGTGGACAACCAACAGAGGTTGAATGACCATAGCCCTAGTACGACTATCCCAGGCCAGGGTACCCCAGGTTTTCCGGGTCCTATGGTGCCGGTCACCGAAATGGGTCCGGTCAACAGCCCAGTGAATTCAAGGTTCACCAAGAGGTACTCCCCTGCTATTCGGACCACATGGAACCCCAAAACCACTGGGTTGGTATTCGGAAAATGGTCTTCCACAGGTCAATTCTCTGGTTCTGTTAGTTTGCGGGGGAGTACCAAGGCTTGACACAGGAAAGTGGCTGTCGATCCAAGATCTGCCAAGGCTTGTCACTTTGTCACCTAACTAAAGGAGTGGTAAACGCAATCCCTGCTAAACCAAGAGGACTGTCTGGGTCTGATTGAGCCAGCACAGACCGTCAAATTTCATGGGCCATCTTTTGTAACCTATTGTAGTTTCAGAGTAGATGGCATAAGGACCACCAAGCTCGGTGGTTGACAGATGGACCTTCTTCAATTCCTTCCAGACATCTGGGGTTTCAGAGTAGATGGTATAGCCAGTGATCTGGACCATAGGACCCCGGAACACCCAGGGGTACGGCCTGGGATGGTCTAGGCAGACTGAGGCTTCTTCAACCGGTCAAGGACCCCCCTGACCTCGCCCTCGTTCGCCCTCTTCACTCGGACAAAGTTCGGGGCGTTCAGCCCGAAGCACCCGTTTAACACCGAAAAAGGACTCGTTCGCACCGAATTTCGCCCCCAAACCGAACGAAGCTCGGCGAACGGCTCGGTCGCCTTGGGTCCTTTTTTTTGCGATGTTTCAACCCTTCGAAGTGGTTTTGGTCATCCAATCCCGTCCACATCTAGATCATCTAGATCAAACCACCCTAAGAATCCGGGCCCTCAAACAGGATAGGGTTTGGTTGGGCCCCGGACCCCTGCGTTTCGGTGTCGGGTCCGACCGCTGCCATGGACAGCCCAAGGATTCTTACGGTACAGAGTAGATGGCACCGGTTTAGTGGACCTTCTTCCTTCCAAAAGACATCTGGGGTGCCCTGTGCCATCGAACCTCTGAAACCAGTGTTTTCCAGGAAATATATATATATATGCCTGGACCCCTCCAACCACCTCAAAGTAAACCTCGAAAATGAAGACATCCTTACTTGATCCTTCGAAAGCACCGTTCCTCGAAAGCCAAAAAAATCGATGACACCGATCCTTCAAGCGAAGGGCTTCAAGAGACGTGAGACGACGTCTCACGGGTGACCTGGGTGACCGTAACCGATCAGGTCATCTTCCCATGGCCAACACAGCAAGAAAACTCCAGCTTGGTGACACACGTCCTCTTTGAAAAAAAAAGAAAAACACATACCAAAACACAATCAATTCGATCATCATAGTCAAACCGTCAATGAAAACAAAGAAACTATATTATAGGACATACCGGAAGAACCAAAATCCCGCGTCCACCAACGACGATGCGTTGGTTCACGCAGCGGCGGAAGGCACCTCTGCATCCAGGTCCAAGTACAAGGGCGAGGAGTACAAACCTCGATTCGTGAGTCCCCTGTCCATGGCCGTCCATAGGTCCTAGCTGCTACTTCAACGGCTTCGGATCACGAAGAAATCAGTGAAGGGTCTTTCTACCAGCACCTCGAACAGGTCACCAATTGAAACCTGCAAAAGGAGACCTGTTCTAAGGTGCTGATATAGGGCTCCAGTCATACCTTTCGTTTCGTTTCAGTGGGACTGGGTTGGGCGCCAGGAGGATCCAAAGAACACCTTTGCTTCGGAGGTGCGACTGGAGCTCAAACGCGTCTATCTCGGTCACCCCTGTGCCGCTTCTCAGACGTGGGACGTGTCAGTACTGCGGTCGCATGGATGGAGGCTCCAGTTACACCATGTTACATCTAGCAAGAAACGCTCCCTCTAGGCCTCTAGGGCTCCTGGCCTATCCCCAGGTTCGGTGGGGACTGACCCTTCAAGACCTGGGCCTTTAATGACGGTCCCATCTTCTCAATGGCGGTGGTCGGCCAGGAGCCCCCCCGGCTGGGCATGGAACACGACTGTCGCCGTGGGCGACCGTCGCTTCCTCCGACTCGGCCAGCGCCGCCCGACAACGCGACCTGTCCCGGAGTCGTGGGGCGCACCAAACAATCCGAGCACCAACACAAAAGGAAGGGCTTAGACATATGATCCGACAGGGTCATCCGATCATCCACTGATTCGGTCGCTTAGTCAGGCGTCAGAAGAATTGGATCTGATCAGGCGTCACAAACGCGTGGCACACCCTCCAAAAACCCCCCTGGTTTCACCAAAAGGGTGCTATCCCCGAACACCCCACCGATCCACCCTGAAAGCAAAAGCGTCAGCGAACTTCGAGTGTCAGGCTGGGGGGCAGAACGGCCTCCGCCTCGGGCACGCGCATGCAAAGATGATCTATAGAGGGTCCAGTCTCCGGGTCCTTCAGGCCTCATTTGAGAGTTTGTATCCCAATAGCGGCTCCAGTCGTACCTCTGTACGAAACGGATGGTCGAGTTCGGAGGTGAGTTCGTACGAAACCAGGTCGAATGCTCGTTGCCAGGGGGGTCACAGGATGGTCCTGGACTCTCAGGGTATGCCCTAGGGCTCCAGTGGAAGAATATGAGACAACCTGAGAACCCAACCCAAACCAGATCTTCGCAGTCCACACATGTCCACATCATGTTGAGTCTCAAGTTCGATGCTACCCCAACGCAGGATCTAGATGTCTGCATCACAGCCACTGGCGTAGACAAGAAGCAAGAACCCTCAGAATCTGGAACACGTGGGGATTTGTGGATGTCCACTACGATAGCGTCATTGCCCGACCCCTGCGTAGCCCTGTGGGTAGCCGTGTGGGTATGTCACTTGAACCACAATTGTAGCCATGAGGCCAGAAAACCCGGTTTTTGATAGGTCACAAGAATATATGGGTTTACTACGCTTTGAGATGATTGAACCAGGTTATTGAAATAAAACCTTCCGTTTCCACCAGAGGTGGTGCCGATGGTAGAGAGTATATAGTATATGCCATTGAAAGTTACCAGTCTACCAGTGTTCCCTCTTTGGGAACACTGTAAAGAAAGCAAACTCTTCTTTGACCCGCCTCTACAAACTCAACTTGGCAACCTATGCGTGGCTCCAAGTTGGCCTCTGGCCCAAGTCCTATGGGTTGTGAGCTTTAAGTGAGTTTTCATGACTTTCCGGCTGACCTGCCCCCCCCCCCCACACAAGCATTTTAGGTTCCTTAGTCCCATTGGTCTCCCCTGCCGAAACGCAGTATCGATGAAAACGCAGATGCAATACTCTCCCCGGCCCCTTTCTTGGCCTTCGCAGCCGCCTGGCCGATTTTAGGCAAGGACCAAGCAGCAAAACACGGATGATATTGAATGAATCTTACCCAGACACTCCATGTATGGTATGCCTACATTGGGGTGGTTTGAGGGGTCAATGTAGGCATACAAATGGCATACATGGAGCTTTTCGGGGTTGTATAACATGGACACGGCCGCAATCCTAAACGCTCCATGCTACCGCCAATGTGGCCTACACGCACCGCCACAAACCACCGATGAATCATCCAATTCAACCCATCTGTGGGTCCTTCGCATCTCACCGCAGGAGAGAACTGTCAAGGGCGTGAGCAGGTTCTTTTCTTTGGATTTGCACCCACCCCTGGACTGAAACACCACCCCTTTGGGACTCCTGGTGTAGGTTCTTTCCAGGCTCCAGGCTTTCTTTTGAGAACCCAACGGACTGATCCCCGCCAGCCGTTCTGGCAAACGGACGATGCCCGGTTCGAACCGTGCAGAAGTGTTCGACCAAAAGGAAAGGGTGTGCTAGTCGTATAAAATCCGGTTCATGTTGGTTTAAACACCTTAAATTAAGCTTATAATTAAGGGTGGTTGGCTTGGAAGCCGGTGTTAAATAGCAACTCCTACCAATGCGTGATGCGACCCCATCCCCCAAAAAAGGCCCGCAGAAAAAGAACCACCAAAAACACCATACATCACTGCTACATCATGAGCTAGCCATACCGAACCGTTTCGTTTCGGTACGACCTGACTGGAGACGGTCTAGCCCAGTTCGGGTCCAGGTACCGACCCGTAAAACGGTCGAGTTCGGAGGGTCTTAGTTCGGACCCCGAGGGCTCGGAGGAGAACAAACGCCGATCGGTGTTGGTTTGTTTTGCCCGGTCGGAGTCGATTCATGCGTTCGCGACGTTCGTTCCCAGGTCAGAGAATCGTGAAGTCCTGTCTCCGTCGTGTCGAGTTCGCCCCAACGGTCCACGGATGTTAGACCTTTCTGGTGAATCCATGGGTTCAGGACAAACCCTCCATGGGACTGGAAGGAAAGGCCGCACCATTCACCTCCCATGTCAGGCGCACCCCTGGCCTGATCGGTATATGTCATGCATGGACCGTCAGGGGTTTGACGCACCATGGATGTGGGCCCTTTGTCATGGACCGTCAGGCCCTAAGGCCGGAGATTCAGGTTTGTTTGTAAGACGAAACAGGTTTACTGATTCAATCTGATTCATGCAGAAGTCTCCACCTGTTTCATGTTGAGTGGGGAAGCCAACCGCAGGTTATCCACTGACGGGGGTCGGAACACTTCGCCATGTGCTGTGCGCCGCCTGTGCCTTCAAAACCATGAAGATGTGGCGTTTGTTTGGGCACATGAGTCTGTCTATGTCTCCCTTTTTGAATGACACCAATTCTGTCCACCAAATCACGGAACATCAAAATGATAGTATGCCAAGTGATGTGCACGTGATCAGTAAACCATATAGTAAACCAAGCCCAAAAGCATGCATTTCCCATCTCGCACCACAAACACCCCACACCACCCATCTGTTTCAACGGGCGCCCGCCTCCTGTGCCTCTTCGGCATCCAGGGTCGCCTGTCATGGCAGTCGGAACCCTTTCGATTGAACTTCTACCCTGAGAATCAAGGACCGGATACAAGGTAAACCTGAACCTGAACCTTCGATACAAGAAACGGGTAAGGAACAAAAAACGCTACAAAGTCTCAAAAAAATGAACCGCACTCAAAGGATTTTGATATATTTTGGTGAACCCTGTCACAGGCCATAGGAACCCAAACGGCACACACAGTATGTCCTTCATGGCTGTTTGTATTGAACCAGGTGAACAAAATTCCCCCTTGAAAGCTGTTGCCTCTCTTAAGCATTAAATCGTTTGTAAGGTTCATGCCAAATTTTCCTCTCTCACTCTCTCTCGGAACTGTTGAACTTTCGACAATTCCCTCGCACGCGGCCACTGCTGCTGGCAAATGGAAACTCCATATGAGTTCGCAACTCATCCAGAAAAGATCTAAGAAATCACCTTCAGCAACTTTCTATATGTGAGCCCACTTCGCGCGAATTTGGGCGCACATTCCGGTTGTGAATTTGCGGATGCTGCGCTTGACAAATGAACATTGGTGGAATAAAGTGTCGTTTTGTCTGCGCGGTAACTCTGGCCAACTTAATTGAATGCACCAGGTGGTGTTCGCCATGTGCTTACTCTGCTTTACTTCCGTCAAACGAAGTACACGCATGTTCTGCTGTCACTCACACCTTTAGGCCAAATTGAGGTCTCGTTTCCTCTTCCAGGGGGTCATCAGAGGGGTTGCCAATTCTCAAACAAATCCGGCGATGCCGTATGGTGTAGCTGATCGCCTCTAGTTTTAGCTACGGGTGCTCCCCATGCCGGCGACCCCCCTCCCTTTACGGTGTTTTGTGAAACCGAGCTTTAAAAACTGCGCTCTTGCCTGCATTTCAAGCCGTGCGATTCAAAAAAGGGAACAGGGGAAAACGCGAAAATGTAGTAGTAAAGTCCTTGAGCCTGGTGAGGGAGAGGCCTTTTTTGGTGATTCTGTGATGTCGAAAAAGTCGTCAAAAATCAAACAAATTCAACAACAAAAATTGGGCCTGACACGGACCGTTTTGAAGCCTTTTTTCGGCTTGCGCCCAAGCGCAAAACACTGTAAGTTACAGTGCTTTCACATTTCGATCTAGAAAAAATGTTACAGCGTTGCAAAAACTGCGTAAATATCGCCGTTTTGGGGGGGCATGGTGCGCGAAACGCTGCAAATATCTCGTTTTTCGTCAATATCGCGTAAATGAGCACTCGATAGTTCGAAACCATCGGTATTTACATGGTTTCGTGGTGTAAAACCACAAAAAACTACGCAAATAGCGTGGTTTTGGTGCACTTCTGAAGCCTCGTGCAGCAAAAAACATTGATATTTACAGTGTTGTTTATTTTTTGTTGCTTAAAAATCATTTCCACCACCAGCCTGAGGGATTTTGCCTCGCCTCTTTCTGCGCGCGCGCGCGCGCCTCAAACGTGGGGGGCCGCCTGATGGTATTGCTGCGGGAGCGACGAAGGCTTGGGTGATGAGGAACCACGCCGGGGGTTGTCATACCTGGACCCTGAAACGATGTCTTTTTTTCTGTCTCGCCAGAAAACATGACGCAGAAACATGCAGCAAATTCGCGATAGAAAACATGACGCCAAAATGACGCAGAAGCGACAAAAAACAACGCAGAAGTAACAAAAATCGACACCAAAACTGTTTGTTGCGTGGGTTTTTTGAGCTTCGCCTGAAAATTGCTCACCAGAAAAAAATACGTCTTTTGCGGGGTCTAGGTATATGTATTCCGAATGTGGGGATCATGGCGTCGGCTGCTGGAGCGTGGTGGTGTCTTCGAGCGACCACGGCCTCATTCCACTTGACATAGGTGTATTGCCTGAAGTCAGTGATGTCTTTGTATGTGATGTTGCTGTCAAAGAGAAGGTTGGCCAGGTATTGATGTTGAGGTCGGTTGGAAGCGTCGAGCTGGTCAGCATGAAAGTCAAGCCAAGTGAGGATTTGCTCCTTTGGCGATAAGGTTTGAAAGTGTGGTGTGGGTCGCCAGAAGGTGGATGGTCGACGGACCACTGGTGTAAGTGGATATTGCGAGGTGCCAGTGTTGGTATTGTCTCAGTCCACGTAAAGCAGGGAGTAGGAGCCGCAGATGCCCTTCTGGAATTTGTGCACTGGGTTTGGGTTCCCAGCTCCTTTTGGTCTGTGTTTGTACCTCTGCTCCTTGTACACTGCAGTTTTTCGGTGTGGCCCTTCTGCCAACATCGACATGAGTCTCTTCTTGGTTGGGGAATCTTCCAGCTCCTCTGCCACCTTGAGCATCTGCTCAATCCATTGGCCAGGCGCCGCTGGCCAATGTGGGAATCGCTGTTGCGTTGCAGCATCCACTTGGCCACAAATTGGCCAGTGATTTGCCCACTCTGTGCCGAGACGTGCGCAAGTCTTGACCGTATAAAAGACCAAGTTCTAGCCAACGCTGTCGGGCATCAAACTGTTCTTGCATGCCTCCATCTCCGAATCCTCTGGGCAACTGAACAGCCTCAGGGAGACAAAGTGTCCAGGATGTGCGGCGTCATGAGCCGATGGCACGGCGTTGGCAAATCTGCGAGTGGTAACAAATATCCTTAAGAACTGCGCACGCGCCCTACGCCAGATATATGCTATTTCAATTCATGTAATTAGCATACAACTTTTTACAAGTATGTTGATCGACGCTGGCTCCACCAAGGGCGGGCGCGGGCCTAAGACCGTAAAAATTGCAAATGGATTATATTGATTTTGTGGTCTTACCTTCAACAGAACTACGCGGCTTTATTTGGGTTCACTGGCTCCACCAAGGCCGGGCGTGGGCTAAAGACTAAATACATTGCATTGTTTGTGTTCTAACGACTGTTTCAGTCACGAAACAACATTGGTCTGACTCAAGTTGAAACATCGACAAGCGGACTTTTTTGTTGGCTGGTGAACCCAGCTGTGTAAAATGTTTGAGCGCAACCGTTCATCAGCGACGTTCACGATTTCAACGCAGGACCCAGCTGGAATCTTTCAAGTGATGGGCATGCAAGTAAAATCATGAATCTTGACTTTTGGGCATGATATCTTGAACGGCCAGCTTCACAATGGCCACCCTGGATCCAGTGAGATTCATGAGCTGGCCAAGTGCATGCCCCTAAACTGCAATCTGAGTGTACCTGTGATTTGTCCACTCTCCTTTGGTTGTTTTTTGTGTGTGGGCTTACTTTTGCGGTACGCAAACCAATGCCACCTTAAGGTTTAACCTGGGGGGGCGCTTTTTGGCGGAGGATGTGGCTAAGCACACATGAGGCACCTAAGTGAAGCTCAGCTGCACTAAAAACATGCAACCTTGACTTTGAGAGCTGTGCAGTCGCAAGCAAGGTTTGGGGTTGCCCCAGGGGTACCGTAAACAAACCGACCTCGGAACCTGCGTACGATAGCTACCTCTCTCGCCCTACCGGCATCGCCGGTCTGCGAAGCTCTACGCAATACAGTATATACAAATCCAAAACTTGGAAATCACCCGAGATTAAACAAAGACTGAAAACCCCCAGCGAGCTTGGGATGCCTGGGGATCGGAGTATGACACCATCACCGTCCGACCTCAGATGGGAGTCCATATCAATCAGCAAACTTGGACATGTGTGCCATCTGAAATCCACTCTGAAATCCTTGTAATAACCTTTTGGCATCGACGATGCCATGGACCGGTCCATGTTTAGTCTTGGGGAATGTACATAACATGACAAAAAATACAGTACAGTAGCTTCGACTCAACATACTTCACCTTGAGCCGATCTATTTGACAGATCATGCCTTCTCTCCAAACGCTCCACTGGTTGGAATGACTCTCAGGGTCCAGGACCATCCGGCCATCTCGGATGTCCTGCGTTTGGCCTCACGACTCATGTGAGAACGCGGTGACCATCCGACAAAAACTGGACCCTCCAAATATAGAGGAAACCTATACACCAGCACCTTCCAACAGGTCTCCGAATTGGAGGGTTGTCGTCGGCCCTGTTGCAGGTTTCGAATTGGTGACCTATAGGAAGGTGCTGCTCGTCCAAATCGGACCCCGCGTCCGACCCGCGCCCGAAAAACTCGAATGCCGTCGTGCCCACCTCGCCTCGCGCGGGGCGGAATGGGGCACTGCCTGGGCGGCCCGTGAAACCCGACCGCCTGTGGCCTTGCCGGGTCCACCGGCGGGACCGATGGGCTGACCAGCAACCCAGACACGACCTCTTTGGGACTGCCAGGACGGAGTGCCGAGAAGTGGCCAACAAACGACCGGTGTTCCGGGTAGTGTCTCCATGACCCGGAACACCTGGCGTACCCAACTGTCCAAAGGGTCCTGAAAACCTCTGTGGGCAGTTCGGGCACCATGTAAAAACAGTGGTAATGTCCTGTGCAGGAAACCAAAGATTCCTGGGACGGAGCTTCATTCAAGTTCGGGAAAATCACCTGATTCGCAAACACCATCGAAATTGCACTCAACTAAACATCCTCTGAAACGGTTCCAACGCTGCGCCTTTTTTTGAGAATGGTCTGGGATGGTTTCGCGCACAAAACTTGATCACCGTCCGCAGAACACACAACACGGGCAATGTGGAAACAAAAACAAATCAATTGTATTTTCTCAGCGGAGATCATGCTTAGTTGCCAAGATGTCCACTGGCCGCCCATCGCCGGGTGTGAACCTTACAGTTCGGCCGAATCACACCATATTCAGATGTGATAGACGTTCTAGTACATAATAATGATAATACATGCTAGCCCCCCTGAGATCCACCTTTGATGCTCTTTCCAAGACATACATGATAAACTCGCTGCGTACTTCGAGTTAGTATGCAGTGAGTGTATATGCAAGTTTTACGGGCAGATTGCGCCAGCAATTGCCAGCATACACACGTGTAGTGGCAAAAGGAGGCAGATTTGCATTGGGTGCAAGGAGACAGTTTTAGAAGGCACGCGCTGGAAATGAAGTAGCCATGTGTAGATCCTGTAGAGAAAAAGTTGCGAGAAGTCATTGGAATCCAACAGAAGACAAAGAGAAGACAGGAACAAATGTTAGGACAGAAAGATTTTCATTTTCAGAGTATCAGTCTTCATAGGCGCAGCAAGAATGCCCTCACACACACATGATTCCCCATTTTGTTGGCTCCTGAGATATGGCCCGCTAGGACTCTGCCGTGAACAAGCCTCATCATCTGTTTTTTGATTACTGGCAACCTGGACTCACGATGGATTGGCACTTCTGTCAAATACTTTCTGAAGCAGGGAAATGTTAGTGTGGCTGCTGTTGGTGCATTCTGACCACGTACGTCCAGCACCATGACGGCTTGAGTACCATTCAAAGTCACGCTGCCGCTCACAGGAACTGCCATGGTGTCGACGGTGGCCGGAGCAGAAAGTTGAAGCGACTTCGAGAAGCTTGCTGCGGTCATGCACATGGAAGACATTGCCGCGTGGACACGCCGCAATGTACATGCACAAAGAAAGCAAAGCAGCATGCTTTCATGCGTTGCCTTTGTCAAATGAACCCGTTTTCACACTTAGAATCAGACTTGAGACTCACTGTTCAGACTTGAGATCCCCAGTCATTGTGTGACATCACTCTTCCCAGTTCCAGACTTCACAAAACTCTCGACCAGAAGTCTCCAATCCAATCCCTGGATTGAAGATTGAAGATGCGAGAAAACTCTGGGCCAGAAATCTTTCAATCCAGATCCATGGATTGAAAACTGAAGATTGAAGATGTGAGAAAACT